ATGGCGTGACTGATGCTCGTCTGCGATAAGGATGTTATTGTAGAGGAGGAGACTACGGCAGCTGTGGCATTGGACGTGCAGGAGGAACCCGAGTCCGTCGACGCCACTCTTGCGCCACCTGAGGAGGCCGAAGTTGAGGATGCGACCGAGCCTACAGAGGCACCAGTCGTGCTGGAGGAATCTTCAGCATCTGAAGACATTTCAATCGCAATTGAGGAACCCTCAGTCTCTGATACAGTCGCCGAGGAGTTCAACTTCGCTGCTGGGACAGAAGAGGCTAACGTAGAGGTTGTTGCCGGGGAACCAACTGTAGCAGAGCCAGAGGCCGTCGCGGAGGAGCCCACTGTAACAGAGCCAGAAGTCGTCGCCGAGGAACCCACTGTGGTGGAGCCAGAGGTTGTCGCCGAGGAATCCACTGCGGTGGAGCCAGAGGTTGTCGCCGAGGAAACTGCTGTGGCGGAGCCAGAGGTTGTCGCCGAAGAACCCACCGCGGCGGAGCCAGTTCTTCCTACCCCCGAGGAGGATGCCGTCTTCGAAGCCTCCCCGGCTGCCGTTGAAGCCAGCGAGGACATCGTTGAGGATGCGCCCGTTGAGGAGACGATCGTCGAGCCTGTCGAGACCATCGAAGAGGCCCCCGTTGTGGAGGAAACCGCACCTGCAACAACTATCGAAGAGGAGTCTGTGGTCGAGGCAGTCGCGGAACCTGAGGTCGAGCTGGAGACTCCTGTCGAAGCTATTGATGTCGAGGCCGAAGAGCCAATTGCAGTGGAGGCACCCGAGGCTACTGTTGTCGAAGAAGTCGCTGCGGTCGAAGTACCTGCCCCCGAGGAACTTGCTGAGGTCGAGGTGCCTATCGTCGATGTGGCTTTGGAGGTAGAGCCGGAGGCTGCTGTCGCTGTCGAGGAAGCGGCCGAACTTACACCCGACGCTCCTGCTGAGTCCGACGCTGTCCCTGAGGAAGCAATTGCAAGCACAGAGGAGGTCACGGTCGCTGAAGAGGAGACCCAGGAGGACGTTGCAGTTGTTTCCGAAGAGGTCCTCGAGGAAACCTCGCCGTCTGTGCCTGCCACAGAGACACGCGCAGACAGCATGGCCGTTACCACAGCGCCCGAACCTGTCGAAGAGGCGGCTATCGCCGAGGAGGTGCTTGTGGATGAGGCTACAAACGTGCCTCCTGCAGAAGAATCGGTGCAGCTCGTGGCAGAAGAAGATGTTGCACCTGATCCCGCCGCTGAGGAATCGACGGAAATTGTTGCAGACGTACTTGCTGAAACCCCTGCCGATGCTGCAGAAGACGCTTCAATCGAAGTATCTGCAGGAGCACCGGAAGAGTCGACTCCTGCTCCTATCGTGGAAGTCGTTGAGACGACTTCAGCGGAACATGTTGCAGCTGTCGAGGAGACAGCGAGCGAGGACGTAATCGAGACGCAGGAGACCCCTGATGTTGTAGTACGTATGGTTTACGTTCCTTGTCGTATCATCCACTGATCGATTATCCAGCCTGAGCCTGAGGTCACCGAGGCGGATTCTACAGATGACGCGCCAGCTGTCGATATCATGGAGGCGACTGAGCCTGAGACAGCTCTGGAGGATGCAACAGAATCCTCCGAAGATGTTCTCCCGGTGGAAGAGCTTGCAGTTGCAGAGACCGCTGAAGCAGTTAGTGGCTTTCCTCGATATCCTTTTGCTCTCTGCTCATATTTTGCATAGGAGGAAGTGGTTCAGGCTTCCACTGAGTCCGAGACAGCTGTAGCCGAAGAAGTTGTTGAGTCGGACGAGATCCCAACTACTGAAGTAACGGTCGCCGAAGACGAAGAGACAGAAGAAACGCCTGTCATCTCCATTAATACGGACGACGGTGGTTCAGAAACGCTGATTGCTACTCATGAGGCGGAGGAGCGCCCCAAGTCTCCTTGGACACCCTCCTACAGTGTCACGACTCAAGGCCCTGGTACAGCAGACCCTCCTGCAGATGACGACGAGATCGCAGAGCTGGAACCTCTCCCACCCTCCATGGCCTCAGATGAGCCTACCGTGTCCGAGATAGTCGTTGAGGCTGAAGCGGAAGAAGAAGTAGCGGAAGCAGAGCCGGAGGTAGAAGCGCCTGCCGAAGTGATCGTCACAGAGGTAGTGCATCATGTCATTTTATCTTCATATTCTCATCTAATGGCTTTCGTGATCAGGCTGACGTGGAAGAGCCCGTTCTTGAAGCCCCTGCGGATGCCATTGAACCACCCAAGTCTCCGTCATGGATTCCTTCCTACTCTGTGAACTCCCAGGGACCGAGTCCCCTTCCTTCGCCGCAGGTTCAACCAACTGAAGAGTCTCAATTGGAGGAAGTCGACTCAATATCCGTCCTAGAATTAAGTACCGCTGCAGTCTCTGCCGCAGAGGACGTCGAAGACGTAGGTCCCATTCCGGAGACCATGCCTGAGATTGTAGTGGAGGCAGATACCGAAGAGGTTGAAACTTTTGAGACGGTAGAGACAGAGGTGGAAACTCCCGCCGAAGCCGTAATCGCAGAGGTAATGTTGTGCTAGTTTCCGGTCGTATGGCGTCTTCTCATGACTTTCCCACTCAGGATACCGCGGAACAACAAGTCATCGAAACGCCTGCAGACGCTGAGCCACCGAAGTCTCCGTCGTCGTGGATACCTTCCTACTCCGTGAATTCACAGGGACCTAGTCCTCTTCCTTCACCGAAAGTACAAGCAACTGAAGAAGGTCAGCTGGAAGTACCAACCTTCGAGTCTGGTCCCGACGCCGTGGATGATACAGAAGAGTCCACTCCGGAGGCTACCCCCGAGGTTGTAGTGGAACAAGCGGCGGCCACTGAAGAAGTTGAAGACGCCCATTCTGAAGAACCCACAAGCGTTGAGCCGGAATTGGAAGCCGAGCTCGCTGCAGCTATCGCAGTTACAGAAGTACGGCAATGCAATCATAACCGTATTATGCATGCTGACCCTTTCGTCAGGTTGCTTCGGAGGTGTTAGCGACCGAGGCCTCCAAGTCTTCTTCATGGATTCCTTCGTATTCAGTGAGCTCGCAAGGCGCTAGTCCTCTTCCTTCACCGAAGCTCGAAGCTACCGAAGTCCTTGAAACGGAAGTAGAGCCGGTTCCTGCGCTAGAGCTAACGGAGTCTGCCAACACGGCTGAAGGTTCCCCGTTCACCGACGATGCTGCTGTTGACGTGGACGTACCTGAGGTTACAGTGACAACTGAAGATGAAGTCGAGACCGTTGACGATGCGCGTGCTTTCTCTGATGACGAGGTCGCTCCGCCCCCCACCATCTCGACGACTGACGCTGAGGCTTCCGAGGTGAATTTGTTTGATGCACTCTGGCGATGTTTTCTGACGAAATTGATCATGCAGACTGTCGGAGATATCGCACCCGCCGAGACACAATCTGGGTGGATTCCATCCTATTCCGTCAACTCTCAGGGCACCAGTCCTGTTCACGCTCCTCATGTTACTGAAGACGTCGATGTGGAGAAACTGGAGCCTCTGACAGCGGATGCAGAGATCGAAAGACCTAAGTCTCCTTGGATTCCTTCGTACTCAATCTCGCAGCAGGGTGCAAGCCCGATCCATACTCCAGTTATCGGCGAGGACAAGGAGCTCGGCCAACTGGAGCAGTTACCGGCCCCCGCAACGACCGAGAGCGATGTAGAGGCTGTCGTTTCAGAAGAGGTCGTTGAGTTTTCGGAAGTGCAGCCTTCGATTGTGGTGGAAGACGCAGCAGAGGCAGCGCCAGAGGTAATATATTTCTCATTAATTCAGAGCGATCTGTGCTCACCGGACGTTCATAATAGGCCGACACCTCAATTGTCACAGAGGACAGGCCCGAGCGTCCTTGGACTCCGTCATATTCCGTTTCAAGACAGGGCCCCGGAACACCCAATGAGGCAGTAGCTGAGGAAGAATCAGCACAAGAGATCATTTCAAATGGACATGATTCCGAAGCTTTCCCGTCGACAGAGGACACTCTCACCGACCTGAAGAAGATAGCGACGAAGTGAGTGAATTACAGTGCCTATTATTCTTTGAGATTCACCGTCTGGAAACACAGACCTAGCCTTGTTCGTTTGGCTGCTGTCAACGAGGACGAGCAGGCGACTCTCGCCGCACCACGTGCAAGGCTTGAGTCGACGACCTCTTCGCGTTTCTTCCCGGGAGGTTGGTTCTCAAGTGCGCCCAACGAGGGGAGGCCATCGGTCGAGACCGCCGAGGGCGAGTTTTCCAAGAGTTCAATGTCTTCCCCCGCTCTCGACATTCCATTGAACGCTGCAGTTGAAGACGCCGACGCAAGGAAGCGGAGGTGGTGTTACATCATGTGAATTGCCATTTCACTTGCGATTTATTATAACGACTCTGATGATTTTATGAGTTCCATTATCGTGCTTCTGCTCGCATGCATACCACAACTTCTCTAATGTTCTGTTGCAATTCGTTCCGAGATCGATGCGCCCTCGTTACATACCCGGGATCAACTCCGTAGCCTTGTGTTTGCTTGTTGCGCATTTACATCTAATACACCCCCTCTCTGCAATGATATCGCGCTTTTGTTTTGCGACCTGTAGCAAGAGAAATCTTTCAGAATATCTCCTAGAATTGTATAGTCGACTAGATCTATGGTCCTTGTGTCAGTGAGCCCGGATGTCTTCGCAATGTTCGCATTGAATCGCGTCCGAGTCTTCGGAACAAGCTTACATACGGACCGCGGTAAGGTACTGTAACACTACCAAACCCATGTCCAATCGGAGAAAGAGGTACAGATGATATAGTACTCACCTGATACACATGCATTGGTCTCGTATGCCTTCGTTCACATAGAATTTGAGGCAGTATGGCGGACTATGACGGCGTACCTGGCAAACGTTGCCCCTCAGTTAGGTCGGTCTATGACGACTGGTGCAACGAGAGTTACAAAAGAACGTCAGCGAAACACTCCTCTTGTGCTGTCCCAACTACCATGTTGCTAACCAAAAAATATCAAAAACCGACCAACCGGGGATTCGAACCCCGAATCTTCAGCTAATAGCTCCACCGGAAACTGACGCCTTAACCATTAGGCCAGCCGGCCACAACAAATGCGGTCTAGGTGTCACTTGAGTTCTGAAAATGACGTGGGTCAGGAAGGACAATGTAAGCTGAGGACCTACATATCAAAAGTGTGAGTTCTAGATCTCCCTCGAGACGTTTGGCAGAAGTTGTCGGTATGTTCTTCAAGTTGGGTGGCAGCTAGAGGATATTGTTGAATCACGGCGAGGGTGGGCTCAAAGTGTACAAAGTCACGGTCTTGCCGAGATGGAATGTCGAAGTCTGGTTAGACTCCTGTAAGAAATGCACAAAGCTCATGGAGGTGAAGCGAGGCGTCATACATAAAAGCAGGAGTATTTGCAGACACGAAAATGTGTGTGGAAGTGGGTGACGATGTGAACGGACCTAGACAAGAACGTCAGTATCAACAACAATTTGGCGGTCACTAATGTCATTGTCCATTATATGGCCCATCAGTATACAGCGGGAAAGATCGACCACGAACCTCCTTTGCGGTTGATATGGCCTCCATCGTACTATGCCTGTGGCACAGTACTAAGCACTGCACACAACCTTGATGAAAGTAACCTTCAAGTCTTCGCGGACGGAATTGAGCACTTGTAAGAAGCCATCGTGAGGGGCAACTTCACAGTAGTCCGAGCCTCCAGAGAATAAGGACCGTGAGATAGTACGATACAGTGACAACACGACGAGGTTGAGAAGAGACACGGGAGGCGGAGGTGTCTATTAGGGTGTTGAACATGTTGTAATCATTCGATAATACATTGTTACTATTGTTTCGAATGTTTAGGCCGGTGACAGTCTTCCGGATACCCATCCTTAGCCAATCAGATCGCGAGAATAAGCATGTTTTGGGAAATATACCGAGCCTAAACATTCGAAAAACAGTAACAATGTTTTATCAAGTATTTGCGTGATGTTCGGGGCTCTAACAGGCCCCCCCGCCTCCCGTGAGAGTTACCGCGTTGGGTAACTCGCGGGCCGACATTCAGACCCGCAGAGATGGCGTCAGTCAAAGCCTTGCTCGCCACACCTGTTATTGAACGGCAGCTTACAGCTTACAGCTGAAGCCCAGGCAACCTTGCGAGGAATGCATACAACAGTGAAGGTGTGAAATGAGCAATGCCAGATAAAATCGTACTCTGGATTTTTGTGGCCTCCGACAAGTATTGCAGTCAGGACGGGTGGTTAAACTTCAACACAACCTGTGCATTTTGCAAATATTGTCAAAATAGGCGAGTGAGACCTCAGCGCTCAGCTACAGTGTAGAGATACTGATGGCCTGTGATGAACTGTGAATGACGCGTCCCATTTAATGGCACGAGCACTCTGAAACGGCAGAACCTGCATCAAATTAGCGGAGTATGTGGTCGACATACGACTTGACAGTAAGTACACGTGGAAGAGAGGCGTGGAGAGCGACACGCGTACTTCAAACGTCTGAAGAAGTAGTCTCGATCCAGACGTTCTACATGGAAATCCACAGCGGAGATCGAAAAAGAGATACTGGGATTGCATGTAGAACGTCTGGTCTCTTTGAGTAGGGCGGGTGTAGATGACCCCCGGGCCGCCTCCCGCCACCCGCCTTCACTCTCGGTCGCGGTCGGTGGCCCGCCGTCTGTATCCTCCTACCGAAACCTTGTCTAAATTATCTTCTCCCGCTGTGCCTGACTCTAAATGCTGTGCCTTGACCTGTACTCGGTTTTCTTTTCAAGGTCAGATACACCCCCACATGTACAGTAGTCCTACGGAAAATCACATTACTCAGACTGAGATACTCATACATACATCCTTGGCATGGTGGCCACACAGTAATAATACACATAAATCTAGGGATGGCAGAGATGTGTGAGATACAGCATCAGATCCAACCTCCAGGGCCTCAGTCCAATACATGGTCCTCCACGAACACTGGGTCCTGGTTCAATCCCTTAGATTGATGTACGAGGCGGTGTGCGAGGGGGCATGCGGGGCGGCAACCGGCGCTCGCTGCACCAAGAATTATCTGCAGTGACTAAGCGCGACACCGAGTACTTCCGGATGGGCGCATCGGGGTCCACCACGCAGTCGGGGAAGAGCCCGTACGAGAGGGGCTGGCCCTGCAAGGGTGTGATAATCTCTGGCAGCACAGGACTGCTCCGCATCTCGATCTCGACATACTGGCTGCCGTGCTCGCGGGTGTGCACCTGCGGCAGGGACTGCGGGGCCCGGGCGGTCGACGAACTCCAGCCTGAGTATGAGCACAGCTTGTCGAGCGAGCTCGTTTTCTTCGGCGCAATGAAGGGCGGGTCCACTCCCCGCCGCGTCTTGATGCTCTTGGCCCATTGCGGGCGGTTGCCGGAGTCTGATGATGGGGTATAGGGCAGGAGCACGGCGCCGTGGAGCTTCCCAGTCCATTGAATTGGCTGAATGAGAGGTGGTCGACATAGCTATAGTACAAAGCGACCGAAGTACGACGCGTCAATGAGACGCGCTGAGCGCGTCGACGCGCCTTTCTCGAGGCGGCAATCCACGGCCCGGGGGTCATCTACACCCGCCCTACTCAAAGTCACCAGACGTTCTACAGAGATACCGCGCCCACATTTTACGATCTCCGCCCGGCGAATAGCGGTTCTCTGTAGAACGTCGGTTCCGAGACTACTGAAGAAGAGCATTGAAGCACGTCAGGATGTGCAATGACGTCGGGCGTAAAGAGAGTGTCGGCGGCCAGATCGATCTGCAGTGAGATGCTGTAGCGGACAACTTCGATCACAACTCGCTCTCCCTCTCGAGTGACGTCGTGGCGCGTCGTGCATGACGTCTATGGCCCTATATAAACCTCTCCACAAAGCCACATGTTTCTCAATATCCCCTTCATACAACCACTGCCATCATGCCAGCTCACCGCGGCCCGTACAACCTCCCTCCCGCAGACCGCGACGTCGACGACCTCACGTACAATCCTCAGGCGGACGCCCGCCCCGACAACGCCGCCTTCGACCCTGACACCACAGATCCGCGAAGCCACCCCATCGGTGCTCGTGGGGCCAACAACCAACCCACATCCGTCGATGCAGGCAGAGAGGACAGGCAAGCAGCGCAGTCCGAACGCACCGGTCGGATTCCTAGAGGTAATCTTGATGAGCCACGCGCCGTGCTTGCTCTAATTCAGATCCGCTGCGCAGGGGAGGCCAACGACTTGATGGACAATATGTCGGACGAGGAAAGGAATGTCGGACAGGGCAGAACGCGGGGTAACAAGGTTGACGCCTACAAGCAGGAGCGTGGCATCGACAATGCCCTCGAACAGAGCGGCATTTCCTCTGCCGACCAGGACGTCGAGATTGGAGCTGCTACGGGGTATTGAGTATCGTGGTTTCCATGGAATCATGTCCGGAAAAAGGTGTTTTCCGTACGTTAATTGCGTGTTGAGATGATTTCGAGCTCTAGTTGTAATTGTACCAACGGTGAAAACGTTGAAACACTGATGTTGGGATATTGTTGGAATATTGGACGTGAGCAACCTGTTTTTGAACGGTCCGAATCCTTCTGAAATATACACACCGCGTGAAATTGCAAATTACGCATGGTGGGAATGTACTGAGAATATGCATGTTTCGCCGTTGTTTCACGCAAATATCACGTATGTTTCACAGAAGCTAGCATTTGATGGTAATAACTACATTTCTGGCATGTTTCGCACATGTTTCTCCGCAGATTACTAGCACATTACCTCGCTGCGTTATTTCCTCCTGGTTCTCGAATTGCTCAAATTGCTTATATAATGAACCATTTGCAATATTGTGCTCGTATTAGCCCAGCTACTGCAGCTGCCGTGGGTACTAAACAAGTACATGTAATACATAAAGCCTCAAGTCAACATGATAGTGTCCGAGCTGCATCCCCTCGCAGTTCGCTGATTTGAGACCTCGGCAATACAGTTGCCCGCGATTGAGCACCCGAGACGAAGAGGACGGAGCAGAGGGTCCTGTGGGAGTCAGCGAGGTGGACACGGGCATGGGTGAACGTACATTGTGGGTCAAATGGGAGGCTGGACTTGTTGCAGCTGTAGAAAGTCATCGTTGTCTGCGGACCCGGGGTTGCAGGCAGTGCGAGGACAGAGGCCTATAATAAACTAGATGTCCAGGTTCTGTGAGAACATCCAAGTCGGTGGCCCTGTAGAGCAGCACACGCACCATTGTTCGGGCCAGTCGAAGCGAAAAAATGTGCGGTGATGCACATGTCCTTCCTCATCACCTGGATCCTGCCGTCAATCTTTAAAGATCAGTCATGTGCAGTTGGGCCGTAGTGCTGCTGTGAGTCATGCGCGGAACGCCAGTGTTCCAGTAAAATGAGTTCGTGCTGGTGGCCACATTGAGGTTGTCTTGCATCCACTGCAGTGCACCTCATATATGCGGCCACGGGTCGGACTTGGACAAGATAGTAGATCATACTCATGCTGACAGTTCGCAAGGCCATGCTCCATGACCGTCGAATGTTGTCAGGGTCAGTGCCAGCTGGCTCGCCATCACATGTTGTAGCTGTCGGAGGACACAGAGGTTAATCTGGCTGTCACTATCAAGAGATCGCACGTCGGTGGGTCATGGGCTGATCATTGGGCGTCGGGGTGTCGGTGCTGTGTGTCGCGCTAGTGGCCGTACAGTACTTGATGGGTACTCGAGGTAGGGCGGCTGAGCTAAGTACAAGCCGCTGCCTACAGATCTAGACGGTCTTGCGTGGGGAACGACGTCATAGCACCACAAGAGAAACACGCAAGAAACTTCATAGAAACATACATATTGCTAAGACATTACAAGGAACGGACTATTTGAGTGGAATATACCGGGAATCTCGCTGGAATGTGCAAATTGCCAGCTCATTACTGGCGTGCGTAATTTGTCATTTCACGCGGTGACAAGTACATGAGCTTCGAATTTGGTGGCATTTCGCAATCCACAAAACCGTCGCGCAAGCTCTGCGCGCGCCGTGCACACCACGATCAACAAATGTAGCCGTGGAAAAGGATGTGCAATGGCGCATTGA